TAATTCCCAGACAAGTTTATAATCAGTGATGTGAACCCCAGAATGGTATTACTCCGGCCCGGCAGACACTAGTGCTCGTTATACGTTAACGAAGCCAATCAAGAATCGTGTATAATTCCCAGACAAGTTTATAATCCACCCCATCACTCCTGGTGCGAGACAGACGTGTTTCGTAACTTTCGCTCGTTAAAAACCGCCCTAATGAGCTGCCTCAGGCGCGTATAGACTCATTAACATTCGATGAAAAATTAAACGCATAGTTTTTAACACCTGGGACTTCTGTATGAAAAATTGCTTTGTCAGTTCGATGTAAGGTTGTTGTCCCATGGATATGATTTAGATTTTTTTTAGTACTAAAAGTTGGATTCAATGAAAAATTAAACGTGTCGCATACTTTTTAACACCTGGGGCTTTTGTATGAAAAACTGCATTGTCACTTCGATGTAAGGTTGTTGTCCCATAGTTATGATTTAGATTTTTTTTATATCCTACAGATGAGAGATATTTGGCAAGTTTGAGGTAGAAGAAAATCTTGGCTTCTAGTTTCAGAAACATGTTTGAAGGAAGACAGATATATCTACATGTGTAGAATTATTACATAAACTGTCGTCCATGGGACCAGTATCTTTGCTTTTCTGGTAAGATCCTTAAACATCCTACAAGTTCTACTGAAACCCTGCATGGTACGTTTTATATGAAGACTATCCTTCATTATTATATAATATAAGATTGTATTTACATGTAGTAGAAGTCATTTAGTAGAAGTGTTTTCATACCAGGAAATTGTCACTGATGTTTATAATTGCAGACTTAAGTCTGTGAAGGAGGTATAGTTGTGTGTGTTAGTGTGTCTGTCTGTGTTTCCAACCTAATTTGGCCAGAGCCTATGGATGGATTGCAATGATATTTGGTATGTAGGTAGATCAACCACACTGTGCATAATATGATTCCTTTTTTGGGACTGAAGATTAGCTCATCAGCTCATTGATATGTGCATAATAATTACCTTCTTGTGCCAGTAGATGAGCTCATCCCTCAGCACGGCCCTCAGCAAACTGTCGAGTTTAAAGTTCGGCTGCACGAAGCTTGTTGCCTCATTAATATGCGCATAATAATTACCCCCTTGCACCAATAGATGAGTGTATCACCTCATTAATAGGCGCATAATTACCTTCTTGTGCCAGTAGATGAGCTTGAGATAAGCTTGCTGCCTTATTAACTTCTTGCACCAATAGATGATCCTGTTGCCTAATTAATATGCACATAATTATTTTATTGCCTCATTAGTATGCGCATGATAATTACCTTCTTGTGCCAGTAGATCAGCTCGTCCCTCAGCACAGCCCTTAGGAGACTGTCCAGTTTGAAGTTCGGCTGCACGAAGCATCGAGCCGCCGCGATCATACACGATGTCAGCACGCCGCTGACGCCGATGGGCGTCAGGAAATCCGATATGTTTGGCGTCAGGCGGAACGGGACTGGCCGGTTTGCGTCAAGGTCACCTGAAAGAGAGAAAATACAGTGTTTAATTCCACTTTTGAAAATCAACTCAAGGAATGAATCGGGATGAGGGGATGCAAACTTAGACCAATGTGACATCTAGAACTTGGAAGGAGCATAACTAATATGCAACAGATGTTTCAAGAACAGCTATTTTATGCAGAAAAAGAACAGTCCACATGGTTCTGTTTAGTTTTAATATGGGATAAGGCCACTAGTCCTGTCCTGTTTTATCTAAATAAAGTTTATTACAGTTTTTAATGTTATTGAAGAAGTTCATGATCAGAACAATTTGTCAAATTTTTCGGGTACAGGTACAGGTTCAAGCCTTTACGTTTAGGTATGTAGCGCTGCCATAGCTTGTGCACACAGAGATGTTGTGAGTTGTATGAAATAGACAGATCTCCCTGATCTTATCTGGCCAGGAAATATTACACACTAGTGAGCCTGGAGGAGATCTTTCCAGTCTGCTGGGCTGATAATCACGTCTTGCTACATAATGTAACCCAACACCACAGGGTGTCTGCTACAGCAAAGTTACCATGGTGACAGACATCTAGTCCAGGTCATTGACCTTATGTGTTTGGAGAAGAAGAAACTGAGAAAAAGAAAAGAATTTGTTTTCCTTCGTTGAAGGTAAAATTTAATATGTCCCTTGCAGGGATCCACGTAGAAAAAGTCAAGGCTACGGTCGGCAGCTTTTTCTAGGGTTGGTCGGGAAACAGGAAACACAACATTTTTTCCCTAGGCCTTACTTAGACCTGCTTGCATAGAGATGTTGCATGTTGTAAGAAATAGACCGATCTCCCTGATCTTATCTGGCCAGGAAATATTACACACTAGTGAGCCTGGGTAACCCAACACCACAGGGTGTCTGCTACAGCAAAGTTACCATGGTGACAGACGTCTGATCCAGGTCTTTGACCTTATGTGTTTGGAGAAGACGAAACAGAGCAAAAACAATTTTTTTCCCTTGTTGCAAGTAAATTCATGTCCCTTGCAGGGATCCACAAAAAAGGGCTAGGGTCAGCAGCTTTTTCTAGGGCCGGTTGGGAAACAGGAAATACAACAATTTTTTCCCTAGGCCTTACTTATTTATTAAACCTGCTTGCATACAGAGATGTCGCATGTTGTGTGAAATAGACCGATCTCCCTGATCTTATCTGGCCAGGAAATATTACACACTAGTGAGCCTAGCTGGAGGACGAATTTTCAGTCTGCTGGGCTGATAGTCTCTTCTGCATACAAACTTCCCACTGATATTCACAGGCAATTCAGATTTCCATATTTCCATCATTTGACGGAATTTTGCTGCCCATGACAGACAAAAATCTTGGTGTAAAGATATGGAAAGAGACAAATGTTATCAAAGTAAGCTAAAAAGCTTAATCTACCAGCAAAATTTGCCCCTCAAGATGTAGGAAATAGTATTTTGGAAGGTCAAGATTTCACTGGGGAGCATGACTATAGATATCATCACTAGAAAGAGTTGTTTTATTTTTAACCGGTGAGCCAAATTTTCCTATCTGCTCTACACAGTGGTAATGAAACTAATCCTAGTGATAGAGATAGCAATTTTCTAAGGAAATACACTGTACAGTCCATACATTAAGCATTGTATAGAGTTGCTTCACTACAGATGCACGGAACTGGCTGGAGTGGATTGGCGATAAGCTATGATGATGATGATGACTACAGATGCTAACTTTGCCTATCTATACCTGACAGTGGTAATGAAACTAATTCTAGCGATTGAGATAGTAATTTCTAAAGAAATATGGTCTGTAGACTTTGCTCTGTATAGAGTAGCTTCACTCTTGAGATGTTAACTTTGCCTATCTACAGCTAACAGTGGCAATGAAACTAATCCTATAGCTAGTGTGATAACTTATAATGGCTTCCCAAAGGTACATGGGGCACCGGAGTGTAGACTCAGCTCTGTATAGAGTTGCTTCTTATGTAAGATACTAGCTTTGCCTATCTGCACCTGACAGTGGTAATGAAACTAATCCTAGCAATACAGATAGTGGCTTCCCAAAGACATTTGGGACACCCGAGTGTAGACTCAGCATCGCATAGCGTTACTTCACTCTCTAGACTGTTAACTTTGCCTATCTGCACCTGACAGTGATAATGGAACTAATCCTAGCCATAACAGATAGTGGCTTCCCAAAGACATATATGGGACCCCGAGTGTAGACTCAGCATCATATAGAGTTACTTCACTCTCTAGATGTTAACTGTTAACTTTGCCTATCTGAACCTGACAGTGATAATGAAACTAATCCTAGCAATACAGATAGAGACTTCCCAAAGACATTTGGGGCACCCGAGTTAACTTTGCCTATCTGTACTTGATAGTGGCAGTGCTTGTACGTAACAGGCTCTTATGGTAGTTAGAGGAAGAAATATGAGCAAGATACGATCATGGGTATCAGTCTTGCACAAGGGCCTACATGGGGGGGGTGGGGTCCGGTGGTAGCTAGGGAGAGAATTATGGGGGAGATACAATCGTCGGTATCAGTCTTATGTGGGGGTCTTCATGGGGGAGTCCTGGCGTACAGTTAGGGACAGAATTATGGGGGTGATACGGTCGTGGGTATCAGTCTTAAGTGAGGCATGGGGGAGTCCTGGCAACTGTTGACTTAATATTTAACTTAGAAAAGTTGGCAATGTCTCTTTGGCTGTCCTGTTCTTGCCAAATGAGTGTTGCTAAATGTTTTTTGTCTGACAAAAGTTAGAAAGTCTGTGACTACTGACAGAGAGAGAAAGAAAGAGATAATATTCTTTTGACCACAAACATATAAAACACAGAGAGAAGCCATCTCTCTGAACTCCTACTGCAAAAAAAAAAAAAATCCCAGCGAAAATATATGGACTTACCTTCGTACCTGCCAAGATGAATTCACAGTATATTACATGCATCACAGTAACTACAGGGTGACAAACGTTACATCACATACGGGGAACATTCGTATAAATGGCACCAGCGAACATTCGGGGACTTTATTACACCCTGCGCCCGTAAATATAACAGTTAGTGAGATAAGCAGACACTGGGAAGGAAGCTGGCACTATATGTCACGCTTCACCCCGTAAGGTTACATGCAGGGAGGAGGAAACTTTTGAAAAATGACCTAAAAAGTTGGTGAAGAAACTTACAACTGAGTTCTAGTATTAAGTATAATGACAGACACATTAATTCAACCAAACATGGAACCCTCTCTTCAAAAACTTGTCATTATATGTTATCTTTGCAGAAGGCAAACATATTGTTTTTGCTCTGTTTCTTCTTCTCTTTTACTACTCCAAACAAGAAGTGTAAATGACCTGGACCAGACGGCTGTCACCATGGTAACTGGTGCTGTAGCAGACACCCTGTGGTGTTTGGTTACTTTATGTAGATTGTGGCGAAGGTAAACATAAAGTATGCAGATCTGTCAGTGATTGTTGAACCCATATCATTTGCTACTCTAATGTTTGGTCTTGTCTTGTCTTGTCAGCAGGGCAAGCCCTTTGTAATAGCCACTGGCTAGTTGGGCTGCCCTGGCTGTGAGGGTTGAACAGCCAAACCAGTAAATAAACAAATCTATCAGTAAGATAAAGATAATTACCTATACCAGACATCTGTCACCATGGTAACTGGTGCTGTAGCAGACACCCTGTGGTGTTGGGTCACAATATATAGATTGTGGCAAAGGCAATATGTTTGGTCTTGTCTTGTCTTGTCAGCAGGGCCACATAGCCACAGGCTAGTTGCAAGGCTGCCTTGGCTGTGAGGGCTGAACAGCCAAACCAGTAAATAAATAAATCAGTAAGATGAAGACAATCTTGACTCACCTGAAGCATCGTTGATGTCGAATCTGAAGTAAGAGGCGTGGAGCTGTCCACAGTCCTGTGCTACGTACAGCATCTCAGGGTTCAGCCGCGTCAGGTGCAGAACAAACTCCACAAAACCCATCAGGGCTAGCTGCTGCGTCAGCTGTGGGGAGGGGGGCAGAATTAGAACTGTCAAGGTCAATTGTGGGGAGGGGGCAATACAGTAAAGAACTGTCAAGGTCATTTTACTGTAGGGAAGGGGGCAGCTGTGTCAGGTGCAGGACAAACTCCACAAAACCCATCAGGGCCAGCTGCTGCGTCAACTGTGGGGAGGGGGGCAGAATTAGAACTTTCAAGGACAACTGTGGGGAGGGGGGCAGAATTAGAACTTTCAAGGTTGACTGAGGGGCAGCATTGCTTGGTTATGCATGCGTAACAAAACTAACTTCTTACAGAATTCATTTCATCCAATTGTGCACTTTCAGATTCTATAAAGATTATTTTTAAATGTTTCAGGCATCTAACTGTCCTTTTATATGCAAACAAACAATTAACAAAAGTTTTCAGTCGTACCATTTTCCTGAAGTGGAAGTAGTCAGTAGCGTCAGGGAAGGTGTGCGATGCCCACTCCTTCAGCATGGAGCGCGGCACCATGTTGGTCTGTACCTCCTTCAGGATGTCCCTTAGCACCTGAAAGCATAATTATTATATGAAATAAGTCTATTACCACAATGTAATTTTAAGTAGAGTTTTATACTATTAGCATAATATACAATTTTTAGCAAGTGTACGAGATACTAGTAATTCTATTGGTGTATTGTGTAACTGATCACTTTTATGTTATGTCACAACTCAATTCAGCTAAATCGACATAGCTGCTTCATTGTGACGACTGGAAACTGTTTTGAGTGTGGATAAACCATTCTCTCTCTCTCTCACAGTCCCTGTCTCTTTCTATCTATTTGTCTCTCTTTCTCTCACTATCTCACTCTCTCTCTTGCTCCCTCTCTTTCACTCCTTCCCTCACTCTCTCTCCCTCTCTCTCACCTGGTGGCTGGCCTGGGCTCCTCTTGCCTGGACCATCAGGAGTCTCTCATAGTACCGTGAGATGGGAGCGTCATGCTCCATCATCTTCTTAGCACAGCGCTGGAAGGAAAGAAGAAAAGAATGAATGGTTAGAGCTCAGAAAAAAGAGCTCCACTGGACCACCAGGATTCGCTCATTGTAATGCTAGATTGGAATATTATCATCCTCTTAGCAAATCGCTAATAAGGAAGAGGAAAAACTTAGAGATGGCCAAAGGAGGGCTTGCTAACCCTGAAAAATTAAAGCTTCAATGTTCACAGACATTTATAAACTGTTGCTAATCTTAAAAGTCTTCAATCTACTTGCACATTACTGTAAGATTGATATCTTCACTTCATGATATCACTGGCACATCTCAAAACTTTGACAATTTCAAAATGTCTTCAAAGCAGCTCAGCCGAGCTTCTTTATAGTCTCCTCAAAAGTACAGAAAACAGAACGAAATACATGTAACCCTAGGTTGGACAGATTACATTTATCTGCAGGTTAAGTTCTTTTTGACACCAATGTTTTCAGACAAACTGTTGCCCTTGATGTTCAGCTTATTCTCAAACCCCCAACACCCATACCTGTTTGTATATGGACAGCAGTGAGAGAGAGGAGGGGTTGTCCTCGACCAGACGCATCTGAGGCGACACGGCCACCACACGGGGAACTGTGAACTGCAGGTTACGCCGAGCTGTCTCCTGGGGTACAACAAAAACAACAGTTACTGTACACTGTTTCTCACTGTTTCTCAACAAGCCTGTAGAATTCAATCACTTACTTAGGGTACAATAAGCTAACGAAAGCAGTTGATTGACAAACATATATAAGCCACAGGCAGATCCCTGAGAAACAGCCACGACATCACGATTCCTCACGCAAGAACCAAGCGTCTGCAGCAGTCCTTCCTGCATTGTGCGATCAGACTGTACAACGACTCACTGCAGAAATCGGCATGAACTGTGTATATATTGTAAATAATTCTTGTATGTGTCTTTGTATATGTTTCTTAGTAGATGTGTTGTGTGAAATATTTCAATGAGGGCAATGTGAAAATTTGTACCCAATTCAGAGGGGGTGCTTTTGTACTCCCCCCTGCTGATGTACATTTTTTGAGTGGAGAATAATAAAGATAACACATAAGGTACATTAAAAGAGGCACTGCCCCTAGTGCTGAAACTATGGCTGTTATTAATCTTCTCCCTGCTGCCTAACCCCATAATCAATACAAATTTGCCAAACAGCTACCTTAGCTGCCTTCCTCCTCTTTTGTTGATGTTCAAGTTCATAAGGATTTTTTGACAGTGCAAACTTTGTGGCAATCAAATTATTGAACCTCCCTAATGATCCTTTCCATTACAATTCAATCACTGACTTAGGGTACAATTCCTCAGTTGAGTCTATAAGCCATTGATTGACTATCAAACAGATACAAAAGATACACAAAAAAGTTTATGTAACCTTTCTCTTCTCAAGGAAGTGGTTGAGCAGCTTATACTATATAAACCTACTGTGTTACATTGTGTACATGTACAAATGTACAACTCAAGTTTAAAGCGGTTTACCAGTAATGTGAAACTAACAAGTAGGACTAGTTTTTACCTTTCTCTTCTCGAGGAAGTGGTTGAGCATCCTGAGCAGCTGCAGTACCCGTTCCTCCCGCCGTGAGTCGCTCAGGCACGCGTCGTTCATCACCAGGTACGGGTAGATCTGGGCAGGCAAACAAACAAATAAATAAACAAACAAACAGTCAGGCACGCGTCGTTCATCACCAGGTACGGGTAGATCTGGGCAGGCAAACAAAGAAACAAATAAACAAACAGGCCAGGGGTGAGAAACAGACTAGATCATCAAACAAATAAATTAAATGAAACTAGAGGTAGCGAGGTTGTGGTATACATGTACAGTTGATGACTTAGAATCTTATGGTTCTGGGTTTGTATTCCTGGCAGCTAGGCTAACATGGCAAAACATTTTTCATCATGATTATTGCATTCTGCCAATAATTCAAATGCTGGTCTGCTTGCACCTTGACAATCACATTTCACATGCTCCTAATCTAATGTGAGTAAAATCATCACAACCTTTCAAGGTCCTTTTCCATTAGTTCTCAAAACTTTGCTTATTCCTGTCTCCTTTGTTAGACCCTGAGAAAGGCTGAAGGCATGAACAAGCTGTAATATGTAAGAAACTTGTTAGAGTGTTGAAACTCCATTGCTCTTGGCAGATGAACCTGACCCTGAAGACCCATCAGACCTCTCAGACGTTACATAACCTACAGATAAACATGACCCTGACCCAGCAGACCTCTGAGACATTACATAACCTTCACATGAACATGGGAAAGCACTTTCAACACAGAATTGTTCTGCGAACAAGACCACAATAGCACACTAAGGACAAATTATGCAATAACTGAAAGTTCTGATGCAGTACCAAGGGGAAGCAGGGTGAACAACAGTTGACTTATCAAACAAATTACATAAAACTAGTCCCAAGTCATCTCAACTTTCCCATTATTTATCCAAACTTTGCTTATAGCTGTCCCTTGAGCTAGACTCAAAGAAAGGGCAATGGAGAAGGTTGAAACTGACATGAAAAACCTGTAATGTGTAAGAAACTTGTTTTAGAGTGTTGAAACTCCACTGCTCTTGGATTTAAACTTGACCCTGACCCAGCAGACCCCTGAGACGTTACATAACCTTCAGTAGAACATGGGAAACCTCTTCCATCACAGAATTTCTCTGCGAACCGGAATGATCTCAAATTTTGCGCAAACCCCAGTTCCCACAACCTCAGCTGGGAGAAGTAGTTAGAGAGAAAATAACAAGTAAATGTGTGGGAAACTGTGGCCTTTGCTTGACCCTGAATTAATTAGTCCAGAAACAACAAGAAAACTGAGTTGGGCCAAACGACCTTCAGGAATAAGGGACCAAATATTTGACCTTGGGCTGACATTAATCACAGAGTGACACAGAACTGTGGCTGTGGGCCCGCTGACCTTCAGGACTAATGTTTGACCTTGAGCTCCCCTGGTGGGTGTTAGGATGATGATGGTGAGCCTGGGGAGGGGGGCAGGTCAGGACAGGGGTCACCTCTGCCTCAAGGTCACCTTCAGAAGGGAAGTTTTGTCCTTGGGACTAGTGTGAAGGTCAGATGAAGTGATCCATGTGAGCTGGGGAGCAAGGGGAATGGCAGAAGAGGGGATAGCTACTGGTATATGTGAGCGAATTTTTGGGAAATATTGGGGAAGGCCCTGGAATAATTAATTTTATTACCCATGCCAGGAGGTTACATTGTTGGTAGCATTTCTGTGTGTATGTGGTTTAGTATGGTAACTCAAGAAGCCATGGATGGGTTGTTATGAAACTTGGTAGATGGGTAGGTCTTGATGGGACCTCAAAATGCAGCTGAACTTCCGGTTTCCGTATCTTGTGATCTGGACAAGCTAAGGTCACAAAGTTTGGATGATAGATAGCTCTTGTGCTTGGAAATAAGTGATTTGAGTTTGGGCCCCCTATAGCTAGCGGCTTGTTTTGTAAATGGGAGACATTACTCACCTTGCCGTTATGGCCGCGGATGTAGAGTCGTCGGGCAGCGGTCCCGTGCTTGTGAACAATCTCCACTCGAGGCAGGAACTTGGCGATCTTGATGTAGTAGTGGTTATGCTGTGGGGGGTAGAGATGACAGAAACGTTGGTTAGAGATCAGGCAGAAAAAACATTGGTGAGAGATCCTGTGCTGTAGGCCAACATTTTTGTTAGGATTCTGATGCAACTTGAGACTGTATTTTAGTCTCAAGATGACACTGTGGATTCAGCAGCTCTTGCTGAATTAAAAAAAAAATGTCTGGGAACCCAGGAACTGTTTTAGCGTGGCCCAAGATGAAACCTCTCCCATACGGCAGCCGGCTTTATAACCAATAAAACCTTGTGCTGATAAAAACCTCTCGCACGACGCAAAGTCCCGAGTGGCGGGAGGATAAAGAGAACTTCGACTACTTGTCAACCTCCGGAAAAATCAATCCCAGGACAACAAAGAAAGCGGTAATAAGGACTGAGAGAAGAAACGGGGTAAACCTCAACGAGTTGGTTAAATCATCAGTTGGGATTCGGAAAGTCAATCTACGCAATTCAAGGGCAAAATGTTAGAAGCTTACATCTACTACAGTACTACTACTTCTACTGCTAATGCAGTAACTACTAACAACTTATACTTCTACAGTAACTCTGCTTCTGTGTTGATCTATAGTCCTGCACCATTTTTAAAGGCATTTTTATAGCTAGTAAATCCAGCTGGCATATGTGCGAAGTACTAGTATGCATGGAATCTACTACTACTACTATTTACTACTACTACTTCTACTGCTACTATTACTCCTATTCTGCTTCTGTGTTGATCTATAGTTATGCACCATTTTGTGAACTTGTAGAACCCAGAAAGTACGCCTCTGTAGCCAAAGAAGGAAAGTTTTATAGCCCGTAAATCCTGCCTGCATACATGTATGTGCGAACATTTTATCACCACGTACTTCTACTACGCAATTACTACCTACAGTAACTACTAGAACTACCGCTACTACTGCTGCTTCTTATTATAACATTTTCTTCTCTCGTAGAACCCAGAAAATACACCACTGTAGATGTAGCTCCAACATAAACTTTAGCTTTTTTATAGCCAGTAAATTGGGCCGGCATATGTGCGAACACTTTATCAGCCATCAGTATGCATGGAATCTACTACTATTACAGTAACTACTACTACTACTACTACACCGTACTCTGTTGCCTTGTGTATGATCTAGTACCTAATACAAGTACCTAATACCAGCCCAGAAGAGAACAAGAAATAGCCATGCCTTTAAGTACCAGAGTTATCAACCAAGGATTGGGGTGTTCAAGAATTCATTCTTTCCTAGAACTATCGCAGAGTGGAACTCACTGTCACCAAGTACAGTAGGGGCACTGTCAATAGATAGCTTTAAACAATGTCTAGAGCTAGAAGTTCAAGGGTTAGGTGTAACAAGTCGATTGGTGTAATATAGCCAGCTGCCGCCGCGCCACGTGCCTGCGAAGCTGTTGTGTTACGCCCAAAGGCGGTTATACCGGCTATACAGATACAGAAGCTGGTGTGTTACGCCGAAAGGCGGTTATACCGGCTATACAGATACAGATCTAGTTATGTGAACATCGTAGAACTCAGAATGAACGCCTCTGTAGCCGAAGAATGAGAGTTTTTATAGCCAGTAAATCGGGCCGGCATATGTGCGAAGAGTTTATCACCACCAGGAACCCAAAATAACGGTACTACTACTACTACTTCTAATATGGTAACTACTTCTACCAACTAATACTTCTACAGTAACTCTGTTTCAATTCTGTGTTGATCTATAGTTCTGCACCATTTTTAAAGGCGTTTTTTATAGCCAGTAAATCTGGCCGGCATATGTGCGAACACTTTATCACCCATCAGTATGCATGGAATCTTTAATCTATCTCCATTAGCCACGCCGTTTTAGAGCCGCCAAGAGGCACCCCCCTCCCAAGTGGGTCGTTCCATCGTTGTGGCGATGAAAGAACGACGTACGACTTCAGAGTTTTCATCTTGCGATCGTCATGACAACGGCTGATTGCCATGACAACCATTCATTTTTTACAATTGCTGGGATAATGAGAGAAAGTTGTAGCAGAGAAAGTGCTGATATGCAACGAAAGAAAAACGTCTAATGTCAGGAATTTTCGTCTCGAAAATCGTCATGACAAAGAGAGTTATTTCATGGTCATAACAACTACTTGACGATATTTCTTGTAATTTTCTATAGTTACTGAGATAATGAGTCAAAAGGAAAATTAAAGCGGAGAAACTGTTAACTTACGATAAAAGAAAAACGTACAACGTCGTTAAATATGGGAACAGTTTTCATCTTGAAAATCGTCTAACAATGAGTTAATGGTCATGACAGTGACAATTTTCTATAATCAGTCAGAAAAATGTGAGTAGAAATTAAGGCAGAGAAACTGCTGACTTACTAATCTTACTGATTTTTCGTCTGAGCATTCACTCCTCTGTTATTGGAAAATAGCACACTTTGCAGTTTTGCACGTTAATACATGTACCAATTTCTGAAATGAATGTTTTTACCTATGAACGTGGAAAAGTATGCTGAATTGCTATGTGTGATGGAGTAGATAGCATCCCAAGATTAACAGTTATAGAGTGTCACATATCACATGAAAGGGCGCACTTCCCAACAATATATTATATTATATGATATCATCTTTATATCTATCAATAGTCCTGCCGACTGCTGGTACAAATAAATGGTTTATTGGGTGCATGTGCACCTTAGTGAACCCAAAATTGGAGCAGTGTACCCAATTATTTTCTGTGGGTGCACCCAAATATTTTTTAGGTATTTTTGTACATATGAAATGTATAATAGTATACAGGATAGTCTTGGAATCTAAGTGTCAGAAAAATAGTAAATTCTTGCATTTTGAAGTTCCCATTTCAGATTCAAGCTCAGAAGAGGAGCAGTCAAGATCTGTTACTACGTTAATTATAACTTTTATGTTAAATGGTGCACCCAAAAAAATTTTTGTGCACCCAGTTTTCTAGGTTGGGTGCACCAGTGCATCTATTCCCAAAAATGAATTTCGAGCCCTGCACATGAAAGGGCGTCCTTCCCTACAATATATTATATTATATGATATCATCTTTATATCTATCAATAGTCCCACCAACTGCTGGTAAAAATCAATGCAGCTTTATAGGAGGCAATATAAGGATGCTGGAGTTCAATGACCTCATGGAAATTTATCATTTGGTGCTAGAGGATGGGTCAACAAGGTGCTAGCTTGTAAAAGAAAGGTGGTCCCAGGGCCTTTTTGTGGCCATTGGAGCCTTTTTTCTGTGTCTATGGCAGGGTACTGGAAGGTGGAGCCCATCCCTCTCCTTCCACTGCCATTTTACCTCCCTACCCACTATCCAATACATGTAAGTATCTGATACCAGCTCAGAAAAGAACAAGAAACAGTCATGCCTTCAAATACTAGAGTTGTCAACCAAGAATTGAGGTGTTCAAAAACTTGTATTTCCCAAGAACTAATGTAGAGTGGAACTCGTTGCCACCAAGCACAGTTGGGGCATCATCGTTAGAAAGCTTTAAACAACAAAGATTGAGCGTAACAAGTCGTTCGGTGTGATATAGCTAGCTTCCGCCGCGCCGCGTGCCTGTGAAGCTTGTTATGCTGAAGGGCGGATATACCGGCTATACAGATACAGATACCCAAAGTCAGATACCAAACTCAGCACCAAGGACAGGGTCCTTTAGGTAAAGGTAGACCCATAGCATATTTCAGGCTATAGGGGCCATGGGTTTTTAATCCACTGTGTCTACATGTAGTACACGGTATTGGAAGGTGGAGCCCATCCCTCTCCTTCTACTGCCTTTTACCTCCCCAACCAAAATCAGGTATCAATTTTACACCTGGGTGGAGTGAGGAAAAAAGCAGTCCTGTAGACTTTTTGAGGCCATAGAGGCAGTGGGTTGTTATTCTACTGTGTCTAGGGCACGGTATTGGAAGGCAGAGCCCATCCCTCTCCTTCTACTGCCTTTTACCTCCCAAACTGAAGTCAGGTACCCATTTACACCTGGGTTGAGTGAGGAAAAAGTTGTCATGTAGACTTTTTGAGGCCCAAGGGGAAGTAGGTTTTGTTATTCTACTGTGTCTAGCGCACAGTGAGTATTGGAAGGTGGAGCCCATCCCTCTCCTTCCAATGACAGGTACCCCTTTTACACCTGGGCGGAGTGAGGAATGTCGTGTAACATGCATTTCCCAAGGAAACAACATCTAACCAGGAATTGAACCCACAATCTCTCAATCTCATTTCTGGTAGCCTACATCTTGTCTGCTACATTGTAGCCTAGTCACTCTGCTACTTGATGCCTCTAGCAAAGTGCCACAGTTGCACAAGCGCCCAGACGGACTCGTCAAATTCATAATCATTAATTTTATTGGTGTTAATCATTAATGAATTGTAACGAGGAATCCCCTCCCCATGTTTAATCTGTTCTTGATTGCTCAAGCGAGTTTGTCAGGTCTATCAGGGACTTGAACTCTAGTAACCCCAGGGACAGGAAAGTTACATAAAGGTCGACTGGGGACACAGGATCAGGAAAGGTCAGTCAGGGACAAGAGAGTTAGGGAAGGTTGATGCCATCTCACTTATCAGACTGATTACTGATTAGGCCAAGGGAAAACAATGTAGTGTTAACTGTTTCAGCCCTGAAAAAATGTGGTTGGTAGGTAGGGAGTATCTTTTTTTTTTTTTAAAGACTTTGGCTATCTCTAGTGATCCAACAGTAACAAACTTGCATGCTCAGGACACTGTCATTTTCAATGTCAATGTTGGAAAACTGATTATACAATGTTTCATCATTCAGGTGTCAGATCATGGAGCTAGAAAAGGTCAATCAGCTCAAAAAATGTATGTCCCTTGCAGGGTCCACACACAAAAAAAGGCTAGGGTCGGTCGAGAAACAGGAAACACAACAATTTTTTTCCTAGGCCTTATATAATAAAGACTGATTACTGAGTATATACAAACTTATAGCATGTTGTTTAATATTCACCCTCAGGACTTGCCAAGTTATTTTTAAGTTGGCT